ATGAGACTGGTCCAATAAATCATTGTACTTACAGAATCAGTTCTCTGTGACATTATCACTTTCAAAGTAGTTAGTTCCCTTCAGCATTCTCATACTTCTGCATTCGTTGCTGCCATTACTGGTAACAGTTCTGGAACAAGGTTTTTTGAAGGCCCTTTAGGAGCTTCTCCGTTTTTGCCTGAACCTTTTCAGCTAAAGTAAAATGGGTTTCCTTTAAGTAAGATTTAAGTTTAGGAAGTAAAAAAAAAAAAAAAAAAAAAAAAATCACATGGAGCCAAATCAGGGGAATAAGAAGGATGCCCCATCACAGTAATGTTTTTGCTGGTCAGAAACTGCTTGACAGATAGGGCCGTGTGAGTGGGTGCATTGTCCTGGTGCAACAGCCATCCATCACTTCACAACTGTGGCTGCCTTTATTTTCTTAATTTTTTTCTTGAAGTCTTTTTAGTACTTCAGTGTAGTAATCTTTATATATATAAGCGGTTAAAGTGTGTATCGCCGATAGTTTTTGGTTGCCACTCGGAAAAATGAGCACGGAAATTAATGTTTCCGCAGTTTTTAATTATTGGGTTGGCAACTAAGTAATTGCGGATTTTTTTTTAGAAAATCAAAGACAATTTTTTCATGGAACTAAATAACTTTATTCTGTAATGTATTGCCCATTTTGATCAATGACCTTTTGCCATCTTTCAGGCAGCATCATAATCCCACATTCATAAAACTTCTGGTTTTTATTAGCAAAAATCTGAATCAGGACGATTTGACATCATCATCATTATTGAAATTTTTACTATTCAAGGAGTTTTGTAAAGATCGAAACAAAACGTAATCAGATGGTGCAAGGTCAGGACTATATGGTGGATGTGGCATAACATCCCAACCAAGCTCCAATAATTTTTGCCGTGTAATGTAATTTATGCCGTGTAATAATTTTAATGTGTGTGGCATTGCATTGTCATGATGGAATACAACACCTTTTCGATTTGTCAATTCGGGCCGCTTTTCTTCAACTGCATTGTTTAATTTCGTTAGTTGTTCAATGTAGACATCAGAATTGATCGTTCAGTTGGGTGGTAAGAGTTCGAAGTAGACAATTCCTTTGTAATCCCACCAAACTGATAACAAAACCTTCTTTTTATGAATATCAGCTTTTGATGTTGTTTGAGTTGGTTCACCTGGCCTGCTCCACGATCTTTTCCGCTTGATATTGTTGTAAACAACCCATTTTTCATCGCCAGTTATCAGTCGTTTTAAAAATGGATCATTTTCATTACGTTTCTTTAGTTTCTTTAGCAATTTTCATCGCAAATGCAGCTGTTAATGCGTTGCGTTAAATGCGTTTTTTTCTGTTCGTGAGGAACCCATGTATTGAGTTTTTGAACATAGCCAAGTTGTTTTAAGTGATTTTCAATGCATGTATGTGATACATGAAGCTTCTCTGCAATCTCACGTGTTGTACTGGGATGATCCGAATCGATTATTGCTTTGATTAGGTCGTCATCGTCTTCAACTGGACAACCAGAGCATTTTTCATCTTTGAGTGAAAAATCACCAGAACGAAATTTGGCAAACCAATTTTGACACTGCCGTTCTTTTAAGGCACCACAAACAGCACGTAACTTTTTATGAGCTTGCGATGCATTTTTCCCTTTGCGGAAATAAAAAAGCAAACTATGACGAAAATGTTCCTTTTAATTTTCCATCTTTCAACGAATGCCAAACGAAAACTACGCAACCGATGAAAAAACTTTTTTTACTGATTGACAGCTGAATTGCCAACTATCAAATAACAAAATGTGTTTTATATTTGTACTATGTCTGCAACCCTAAAAATTCAACTGAAGCCATCTATGAAATGAAATCCGCAATTACTTAGTTGCCAACCCAATAATATCTCAACCGATTAAAGTCGTACAAAGATGAGAACGGTATTGATGGATTTGGAGAATTTTTTGGAATCCAAGGATACGCATCTGGAATTTCAACTTGGTGCTGTTCTGTAGATATTCAAGAAAAAAGAATTTGGCACTTAGCCAAATCCGTCTAATAGGGAGAAACCCAAGAAAGAAGCGGAAAATGTAGGGGAAAATTCGTTTTTAATTAATATCTCAGCTAATTCAAGTCCTACGAAGATGCAAATGGTCAAAATGGTGTGCCACAGACCTGTGGAATCCAACGGTGTGCTTTGTTAAGCCCGCGAGTCAGCCGTTTCGGAGGAGATACTGTTACTTCACCCCATATATATATATGCGGCTTAAGTGTCTGTTTGTCGCCGATAGTTTATTGGTTGCTTCCGTAACTGTACTAGCCAATGGGGTGAAGTTGCCACGGCACAGGGTTGCCGTTTTAATTGAGATGTAGACAATTTCCCTGTAAAACTTGCCTTTGCTATGATTATCAATAAGTCAGCATGTTGCCATTTTTTTACTTGAACCTGCATTTGGACATAGCCAACTTTATGTTGCCTGTTCAAGAGTTCATGAAAGAACGGACATAAAATTAAAAATAATGGATGTCCTCTGCAAGGCGTGCTTAAAAATGATGGAAAGATTTACACAAGAAATGTTATATACAAAGAGATCTGTGACATGTGAATTAACATTTTATTATTTAAATCACCTTTATTTATTGAACTGGCGGTGGCTCTCAAGAAATGTGCCACCAATGGTTTCTTTCATTGCACTCTACTTTAAGCAATTAAGCAAGTAGAAGGGGGAAACCCCGTGGGGCAGTAAGCAAAGCGGCGTCCTCTCCGCCTGCCCTGGGTAATTCAGTTTGAATTAGCAGACACCTTTGCACAAAACATTTTAATTACAATTTATAATATCTAAAACAGCGGTCATTTCGTACGACCGCCAGGCTTTCTAGTATTGATTAACAGTCTGACCATTGGGAACCCATTCAATCATGATGAACATGCTGGGTGCCAGCATGTTCATCATCTTCCATACTGTCCCTCCCCCTGAAAACTGCTTATGCCATTCAAACACACATGCATGAGACAGTTTCATTGCCATAAGCCTCGGTTAGCATTTGAAATGTTTCCTGCATGGCTGATTTCTTAAGTTTCATAAGAAACTTGATGTTGACTCGCTGTTTGTTTTTTACATTAGACATTTTTTCAACAGAATGCAGTTGCACATGTTCACTCAATGATGCAGTACTCCTCACTGGTGGTTAAGTCGAAACTGGCCACATAGATAGAGGAGGTGTGTGGCATGACATCACCTAAGCAGTTGTTGCTAACTCCACTCTGTTTTCTAGCTACACACTTAGTCTCATTTTGTGTCACACCTTGCATACATACGTCCACACGTGTTCATGTATGCATATGTACATACATTTCTGAATCCGGTTCCGATAACAGAGAACAGTACCTTGTATAATTATTTTTTAAACATTTCTTTTTAATGAAATTAGAAACTGATGTTTTGTTAATTTTCCATTTAAATAGTATTGCTTGCTTTTGTGTATTATGTTGGGACCTCTTAGAAATATATTTGCAATTAAAAATATTATTTTGAGTTATTTATGAATTTTCCATTTCAGTGAGCTTTTCATCTCAACGACATGTAGGAACTACAGGTGATCTGAATTATAGTTTCATATATATTGCCCATCCTCGAGCAGTTTCAGGTTTATCTTGGAGGAAGACTAGCAAATTTATGCCTAAGTAGTGCCTTTTTTAAAATTTTTTTTCATTTATTTTGCACTTCAGTAATTCTTCATTCTGAATTTCATTATATTGTTATGTATAATATAATGGTTTATATTGTTTTATATAAATAAAAATATTTTTCTATATTTGTTACTTCAAAATTATTGGTTTGATAAGATGCCCTCAGATAGGAGAAAAATAATTAATACATTTACATAAAATTAGACTTTCTGTACATACGAGTCGCTATTTTGCATTCTGTTAGTTTCGTCACTCATCACTGAGCAGTTTACAATAATAGGTGAAATGGAGAAGGGTGTAACTCACTTGTGAAGAAAACCTGTTTTGGGGTGACCAATTCCAGCCAAAAAAGTTTTACACCTACCTCATAAAGTATCCACATGCTACTTGTACGTGTTTCTTCTCTTATTCACATCAGAAATTTCATTCATTGTGAAAAATTAGCAGTTATTGGAGAGTTCAAAGTCAGTACTGAGAATGCATGTTGATTGTTATAAAAAAATTGTATATTTGCTTTTATTCATGATGCATTATTTGGAGCTGTTTCAGGCAAAGTGTCTATTCTTATTTACTTTTTCCCTATGTTTCTCTTAAGACTGTATCAGATATTTGAAGCATATCAGAAGAAGTGTTTGATGTGGTATTTCTGCTGTTACATGAAATAAAACAGCTTCATGGCAGATCAGTTTGGGGTTACAATGTAAAGGGGAAACTGATTCTCCATTACAAAGAGACTACCAAGAAAGAACTCCAATATCAATCTTTTTGTTTGATGGTGATTAGCTGAAAGTATAATATCTACAACTTTTTGCAAAAAGAGAAGGGGGGAAATCGTGGAATTCTTTTAATGATAAAACCAGTAGAAATATTGTTTGAAATAATTGTTCGTCTGAAATAGACAGATGTGTGATAGTTTCCTTAGAGAGTTTTGGATTAGGACTTTCATGTTCTCTTATTCTCATTATGGGTTTAGTTGAGGTTAACTGGAAAGAGCTGCATTCAGTAAATGAAGATTGGCTATAGAACTGCTGCAGTATTTGATTACATCTGTGCATTACAATGCACATTCTTAAACTATGTCATAGGTTATTTAATTAGCATATCTTGTAATTTTTCAAATCATGGACTGTGTTTATTTTAGAGTTAAAATATTATAATTTGAAATATTCGTAATATATCACGAGGTAATTAAAAATTTGATTTTTGAAGTGAAATTGCTGAGGCTAAAGCATATAAAGCGTTAATATTGTTACATAACACAGTGAAAGAGCTCTAATTTTTTAAATGCCTTCTCTTTGTGTAAAGTTTTTTGTGATTTAGTTGGTGATTTAGTTTAGTGGTTTAGACCTTTAAATATTTTAGTTTGCCCATATAAACATATCCCACTAATGCGATACATTCTACTCATACTACTTCTGGTGTTTTAAACTAGTATGATGGAGCCGCACAGTATTTGACTACTGATATTGATTTAATTGAGAAATTTTAATGAAAATGTGAAATGTGAATTATAATTATTGACGTGAGTAAAATATCTGAAATTAAGGTAATTTTGCTTTGTACTTTTATTACTTTTTGTGTACTTATGATAATAATAAGATAAACCCATATTATCTCTTGAAATTAACTGAGTATTTTAACTTGAAATAAATGAAAAAAATGATGTTGAATTCAAAATCTTTAAAAGTTCATCTCAACATATTTACATATATCTTACAATCTGCTATAAAATACAGAGGCTGTTCGTGCATTTTTTAGACGATTTTGCTTTGTAATAACAAAAAATTATCTGCTTGGACTTTTTTTTTCAACTGCAGCTATATTTTTTAAAGTGTAAATTATAATCTGCTACTTGCCAGTTTTGTTTTCATGCAAAATGACAATTTTAAAGAAGCAGTGGATAGGCTATGTTTGTACTCTTTCCAAAGAAATTTGTTCATATCTAGCTATTAAAAATCACTGTGAAAGCTATGGGTTTTGGATATCTAAACTACGTCAGATAAAATTGACAATAAGAAAGGAAGGGGGGACTACCAAAGTTTGGCTTCAAGTGGAAAAAGGTTTCCAAATACATGTTAAAGTAAAAACGGAATGTTTCAAATGTTGCAAAGGTCATATCTTTAATGTTAAAAGAAACCTACCAAGTCAAAGGACATTTGCAAAATAATTAAAATGCCAGTCAACTGTAAACAGAATAATTAATATTGTTTTGAAACTTATAAAGGCAAAAAACATAATGTGCATCATCCTTCTCCACGTCACATTGTCGAACGCAGAATGCACTGCAGAATTCTCTGTGAGAAACATTTATCCATACAGAAATGGAAAATATCATCAAAGAAGAGAAATAAATCTTGAAACATGGTTCAAAAAATCTAAAGAGAGTTTTCAAAGGGATTTATGTTCATTGCTGGTTTTTTGTATAACGGCAAATTAAAAATAAAGAGAGTGAAGAAAAATGTTAAGGTCAACTCCACGTATTATCAGGAACATATTTTGTACCCAGTTTTCAAATATGAAACTCAAAATTCAGTTTCAAATATGAAATAGCTCTCTTTACCTATAGTGCTATTTATCAGTAGAACTGATTCAAGACAAAGCATGGAGTCATACCTCAAAATCTACTGTTAATTTCCTGGAAAAAATGGAACAAGAAATGGGTATTAAGAACATACTCTTTACTCATATGCCTACTAAATTTCTGGATAGTTTTGCACGTTTGGACTTTTAAAAAGAGGATTTTCGAAACATCGACCTACAACTTTAATTGGACTTTAGAAAGCTCAAGAGGAACGTGATAAAATACCTGTTCCGATACTACAAAAGGCTTTATTGCCATGGAAATTATGATGTAGAAAGATACTGAAGCATAAGGGTTATCAAATAGAACATTTAAAACACAAAAATTTTAGCTAAAATATTTCTTTTAATACATTGAAAATCATCTAAAAAGTGTGCGAACAGCCTATGTATTAATTTCATGTTTTCATTACTTTGTATTGCTACAATAAATAATTAAAGGAAAAAAGGCAAAATTTTAGTAACGTTATTAGCGTGTATAAATGAACTTTTTTTTTTTTTTTTTTAAAGGTAAAAGAAAATTTGAAAGCATTTATTATTTTGCATTTATTATTTCTTATTTTGCATTTAATGCAAATTAAGAAATAAAATATTTTATAAACATTGCGTTTAATTTTTATTTAATGACATAATAAATATTGCATTTAATCTTTATTTAATGACAATAAGCTTTTTAACAAAATTTCACCATATTTTTAACATATTTTAATTGAAGAAGCAAGTGTAATTCATTCTTTCATTTAAGAGCATAATATTACTCTGGAAAGTGGTGCAGGTGAATGTACCAATTTGTTTTTAAAATAAATTATTTCTGATGTATTTTTTATAAAATAGTTCTTTACTTTTTCAAAATATTTCCATCTCTCCATGTTTTCTTTTGTACCTGCATTATTTCCATTGTACGTAACTGTAATTAAAATAATAGTTTTTAATTATAAAAATTTTGGAAAGTAATTTATGAGGTATGGTATGTTTTAATGATTACTTTAATGCAAATAATCCGAATTTAATGCAAAAATTAGAATGCAAGAAATGAAAAATAAACAAAACTCAAAAAAACCTAACCTATAATCTGCAGAACTATTGGTTTTAGAGTGAGCAAATTTCAAAATTCTATTTTATATAATGCTGAAATTTAAAATAACCAATTTTTTTATTCTTGAATTTAACTTAAATCATGTAAAATAATATTGTGCTGTTTAAAATTGTGTACTGTGATTTATCTCCCTTTTTCCTTATAATTAATAAACTGTTTGTTTACTTTCAATTAAAAAATATGTTATGTTTTATGATTGTGTATTGATTTTAATACTTATTTTGGACAGAGACTCAGTTGCCAATATGCTAGTGACTTCCTGCCGTGATAACATTTGCCGTATTTGGGTACAGACATTGATGCCTGAAGATGGTTTAGTAGATCTGCAACAAATAGAAGCAATTGCCAATCAAAATCTCAGAGTCCAGACACAAAGGCATAGGCGAAAGATTATGCAAAGATTAAAGCACATGAAGTATGATTATTAATAAATTAAGTATGAAATGCAGTTGAAATATTTTGAATTTTCATAAAATATGCATATATGTTACAATAGTTTTGATGAAAAACAGTAGAAACATGACATGATATTGAAGCATTTTGTAGATAGTTATTATATTTCAAAGATAATTTATTCTTCCTTCATAGATAATGTATATTGGTGTCATAATATGTATTTACAATAAAAAAAAAAAAATCCCAAATATGTTGGTGTCATTTGTTGGCACTGTTGTTGTCCCACACATTTTTCTTTATTGTCTGTAGACCTTTATTTTTTTGGCTTTGAAGGTTTGTGATAATAATTTTTCTACCTATCTGCAATAAACAAATATAACGTTTTCAAGACTGGTTAGTTAGAAGTTGTCTATAATGTGTCTATATAAAATTAGTTAGAAATAACCGATTTTTATGTGGAATGTTATATTTAGCTTGTTTGACAATTGATGCATGATAGCTTATTGTGTGCTGTTTATAGTAAGACCTTCCACAGCATCTCCCTAATGGGTCTTCCTCCATATTTATATAGTAGTTCTAAAACAATAGCATTTTAACTATGCATACAAGTTTGCTTATGTATGATTTTCCAGTAAAAAGAAAAAATGACTGTAATAAATATTAAAGAAAATAACTCCCTCCCCTTCCTGTCCTATTTCCAAATTAAGCTTATGTGGGTAGTGAGAATAAATATATAATTAAGATAAATTCTGATTCCATATCCTGATGTACAATATATATCTTTTGTTTGCAACTTTTCTGTTTTATTTATGTTTTGCATTTAGAAATTTAATAATTGATACCGTTTCATTTAATTTATGTTTTGCATTTAGAAATTTAATAAATGATACCTTTTCATTTAATTTATGTTTTGAATTTAGAAATTAAGTAACTGATATTGAGCATAAACAAAATTTTCACTATTTTCTTTTATTATGCTACTGCTAAGCCCCCGATTCTGTAACACAGTGGTTTCAAACTCAAATTGCATTCAGGCCAAATGCAAGTTCTAAAAGTCCTAGTCTGTTGCCATTCGTCCAAATGTAAGATATTTATCTTTCAAACCAAATCTGTCTGCTGTGGATTAATAAATTAAGCTGTTTGAAAGCAGTAGATGCTGTTCCTAAGAATATTGGCTTGTATTGGATTGATTTAAATTATAAAAATGCATTTAATTCATGATTTCATATTTTGTAAAACTTTAATGAATTTTTTATTAACTAACTTAACAATTAGTGAATTGTTAAGTTAGTTAATAAAAAATTCATTAAAGAATTTTTGATTCTTTAATGAATTGAATTGAAAACAAGATTCTTTAATGAAAATTTGAAAACGAGCTGTAGCAACAGTGTACGGAGTAAAACATTTTTATGTCCAATGCACGAGACCGTATATCGGAAATTCTAAAGATATGCTGTTTTTAAATTTTTGTGATTTTCTTGTCAAATTCAATATAATGTGGTGTAAAGTGCAAACAACATGATATTTTATAAATAAAGTTAACACACAAAATGTTAATAATAAAGTGACAAAAAAAAGTTTTCTAAGCCATCTTACTAAGAAACCTAGCACTGATATGATAAATTTAGAAAATATTGGAAAAAATAGGAAAATTGTATGCCAATATTTAATGCTGCATCAGGAATTCTAAACATATGCAGCTAAGCTTCGTTTAAATTTTTTTTGTGATTTTGCTGTTGAATTGTATTTGGCATAAATAGAAAAAGGTGCTTACCCATAAACTAAAAAGACAAAAAAAAGGGGGGAGGGGAGAATGGAGCAGGTGAGAATGCAACGCTTGATTGATAGTCTGTGAACTAGAGGCATAAAAGACCGTAACAAATTGGTTAACCATTATGGTCTGAAACCTTTCAGATTTTTTAAACCAAAATGAAAGTTTTTTAATAAAACAAAAATTAACTAAATTTTATCTACAAAATATTTATCAAAACACGCATTAACAGTAATAATAATGACAAAAAGGGCAAAATTCCAATTTGTATTTTGTCTGAAATCTAAGGGCTGTTATCTGCAAGAAATTCCTGATGTAAATGATGAGAAATTTCTTTTTTGTAATTCAAACATAGTGACAACTAAATATAAAACTTATAGACAAAATGAATTTTAAGTAATTCTAATGTATTGAATAAATTCCTATTATTTAGTACTTTATTCAATACAAAACTTGAATTATTTTGAATTAAAAATAAACAGATTACAAAAGCTTTCCGAGTGGTACAAAACTTGAAAATAAATAACGAAAACCTATTCTTTCTCTTTCATTTATAAAATTTTCCTTTGATGCATACAGCAAAAATACATATCTTTTTATGTAATAAATAATTAAAAACTTCTTTGTTTCTTACTATAAATTTCAGTTACAACACCCGATGGCATTATGCTTCTAATAAAGTTTGTAACCTTGGAGAAAATTACTAGAAATTACAGAGGTAGTTTGCACAATTTTTAGACTAATTTGCTTTGGTATATAAAAAAAATTGCCTGCTTGGAATTTTTTTTTAGCTGCAGCTGTAATTTTGGAAGTTTAAATTATCATCTGCTACTTGACAATTTTGTTTTCATGCAGAATGGCACTTTTAAAGAAGCAATGGATGGAATGCTACGTTTGTGCTCTTTCCGAAGAAAATTATTTGTATTTAGTTATTAAAACATATTGTGAAAGCCATGATTTTTCAGTATCTAAAGAAACGATAAATAGTACTGTCAATAAGAAAAGGGGGAGGGAAGAGTCAAAATTTGGCTTCAAGGAGAAAAATTTTTCAAAATACATATTGAAGGGGAAAATGGAATGTTTCCAGTGTTGCAAAGGTAAGAACTTTAACATTAAAGAAAATCTACAAAGTCAAAGGACAATTGCATAATCATTAATATGCTCAGTGTCAACTATAAACAAAATGATTAATTCTGATTTGAATCTTAGAAAGGTGAAAAAAATTGTAATATGCATAGTCTTTCTCCATTACGTAATCGCCAAAAGCAAAATACGCTGTACAATTTTCTATGGTAAACAATTGTTTGGTCAAAAATGGAAAAGTGTTGCCACAATAGATGAATCTTGGGTATATTTAAATGACTGCAGTAAAAGAGATCCATTTATTAACATCAAAGAAAAGAAAGAAATCTTAAAACATGGTCCAATGAGTCTAAAGAAAGTTTTTCAAAGGGATTTATGATTGTTTTTGGTTTAACGATAAATAAAAATTAAAGATAGTGCATAAAACTCTTAAGGTCAATTCCACATATTATCAAAAATTCATTATATACCCAATTTTCAAATATGAAATACCTTCTCTTTAGCCACAGTGCCATCAATCAGTAGTATTGCATCAAGACAAACAAGCAGCCGTATGTTAAAATCCATTGTTAATTTCCTGGGAAAAATGGAAGACAAAATGTGTATCAAGGCCATACTCTTCCCTCATATTCCTACTAAATCTTCTGTTGTATCATCCATGCATTTTTACATTTTTGGACTTTTAAAAAGCGGATTATCCAAGCATCGACCTGCAATCCTCCTTGGACTTTGAAAAGTTGATCAAGAGTAATGGAATGAAATACCTCTTCTGATACTACACAAGGCTTTATTGCCATGAAAATTACGATGGAGAAAGATAGAGAAGAATAAAGGTTATCAAATAGAACACGTAAATGAAAATGTGAGAACAGCCTCTATATCTTCATGAATTGGAGATGCTCATTGACCAGGATTTTCAGCTGAAGATAAAACTCTTCAGATATAAATGTACTCCCAAATAAAGTGATTATTTTTATTGCAAAAATTCGAAATTGAGGATATTAAATTTTGGTAATTTTAGAAAGAAGTTAATCAAATCTGCATCTTCAGATCTTAGAGTATGATTTATAACATGGTGTAAATTATTTTATTCCATCTGTAGATATTCCAATGGTATTGAAAATATTATTAAATTAAATTCTGAATCATTAAAATCTTAAATCTCTCTTCTAATGCTTGTCATGGTAATGCTAATTGATTTATGGGAAATGTACTAACGGGCTGCTAATTTTCTTGCTTGGAATTTTTTTTAGGCCACGATTGTAACAAATTGAATAAATGAATGCATGGAATTTTTCCGAGATGCTGATATCATTGCTAATACTGGTAATAATAACTTAATTAACAGTAAATAATAACTATTAAAAGTAAGTAATAATTAAAATAGGCATCTCATGCTGAAAGCTCATTCATCTCGTAATACCTTGAAAATAACACCAAACGTTTCGTGGAATGCAGATCATAAAATTAGATCATAATAATAAGGCTTATAATATCCTGTTGATTGTACAATTAGAATCTTAAAATTCACAATTTATATATATAAAAATAACATCATACCTTTTTTTTGGAAATAAAACTCTTAAATTCTGTTTCAGATTGATTTACAAATCATTGCCATCTTCAATTTCAAAACAAAGAATAATTAAATTAAACATTTTGATATATTCCAGTGTTTTCAAATACTGCGTTAATATTTTTGTGTGTTAATAGTTTGTAAAATCTTTGTGAATAAATGCCAGAAGAGAGGGAAAAAAATGAATAAAAAATGTCAAACCTTCATTATAACTCCAAATAGTAACAGTTTTTACAGGTGAAGATATCTGGAGCAAATTTGGATATCTTCATCAATTTACATCCTAGATATAGTATAGTGAATAGGAAAAAAAAAATGGGGGTATCAACACTGAACACTCTGTAAATGTAACTGATCATCTGAGTGTTTTCATACCACACACACTTTTTTCTTTTCACTTTTTCTATAATAAGATCCTGTTATTCATTATTAAATGTTGAACTTTGTGTCTTAAAAATTCGCATATTAATACCTGATGCTTTTCACATTAAAATAAATAATTGTCATCCAAAGAATATTTTGTATTGTAACAGGGTTAATAATTCATATGTATATTTTTGCGGAGTATCAAATATTTGTTTGCATTTAT